AATACAGTAGTACCACATAGTTTGAGATTTGAAATATCTGGTTTTTTTCCAAAAAAAATTTCGTAAGGCGTTTTTCTTATTTTTGTATTCGCTAATGATCGATTCCCTAGATATGCAGCTGTTAAAATTAGTTCTGGCCAGAATTTGACATTGACTTGTGTTTCATTCAGTGAGCAACGGGTGCGAGCAACAATTGTACGATTAAATCTCTCTGCAGTCCCATTAAAAGTTGATGCGTACCTATAGCTAGGGCAAGGTCTAAGATAGATTCCTTTTTCTTTAATAAAATCCCTAAAAGCATGATTGATATACTTTGTGCCATTATCACAATGTAGCTATTTGATTGATCTGTTTGTTAGATTTTCAACTAAGTTAATGAATTCAATAAATTTATCTAAAACTTCACTTTTTGATGTTAATGTAAAAACTACTGCAAATTTGCTGAAGTCGTCAATAAAGGAGATAATGTATCTTTCTCTTCGATAACCTACTGGGTTCATTGGACCATTTAAATCCGTATGTACAATATCTAAAACATTATTTGCACAAGTGCGCTGATTTTGGAATTTACTGCGGACCATTTTACTCGTTAGACATATTTCACAATCAAGGTGTTTATTCTCCAGTTTCTTAGGGAGGCCATCAGCTAGTTTTAGATTGACCAACGTATTTAAATCAGAAAAATTTATATGACCTAGTAATCTATGCCATTTATCTGTATCACTGCCAACAGTATTTGCAGTAATTTCTTTTCGCAGAATATGATTTAAACGAACATTACAGTGCAACTTAAAAATTTTTCCACTTCTTTTTGCTACGCTAGTTAGTTCATTTTGGAAGTGAATTTGGGCACAATTATTATGGAAGTTTACAGTATAACCATTATCTGCAATTTTTGATACACTTAGAAGATTTTCTTTCATTTTTGGAGCACAAAATACATTACTCACAGTTGTTTCGACTTGTTGGCCATAAACATCACAAGAAATTACAACTTGACCTACTTTGTCTGAAGTTAGCTTATTATCAATTGCTACAGTGATTTCGATTGGGTCTTCCAGGATTGCAAATTCTGAAAATAAACTTTGATCATTGATAATATGGTCACTGCATCCGCTATCAAGTAACCAATACATAGATTTTTGAGACAGGGGATTTTCTACAGTTAATTGGAAGGTGTTTACCTCTAAACTAGTGGAGTTATAGGCCATAAAGCTATGAGAGTTTTGATTTGAGAAATTTCCTCTGCGAGAGCGAGTTGAGTTATTTCTGTATCCTCGGGATGGACTTCGACCTCTAGAATTGGATGGTGTTCGGTAGTTGGATGGGAGTGAGTAGCACTCAGCAGCTGTATGATTTGGTTTGAAGCACAGTTGACGTTTGGCTTGGGAGTCACTTGAATACTGTCTTTGATTGTTGTAGTTGTGATAACGTGGACCTCTTGGACGCCTGTGGAAACCTCTGGAGTATGGGCGACTCGAGCTTGATGATGATGCAGGTTGGTTTGTGTATCGACTAGAATTTTGATTAAATTGGTGCATATTCTGTACTTGAGAGCTTAAAGCTAAGGAATCTTCAGGATCTTTGCGAGCATTGAAAGAAGAGAGAACTTTTTGCCTAATGTATTCAACGTTTTTATCAGCGTCTGGGAGGGCATCAAATACATCAGTTAGATAACACATGCTGGGTGGTAAAGCTAGAAGAAGATAGCTCAGTTTTTTTCCCTCAGTGATACTTTTGCCAGTTGATTTCAGTTCATTTAAGGCTTTTTCAAAGTTAGAGAAGAAATCTTCAGGTTTCTCATTTTCTGTTAATTTAACTTCTAAGAGTTTGCGTTTTGCGTTCACTTTCCTCGATGTACTATGTACGGCGTACCAAGAGTCAAGCTTATATATCATACGTCTTGGTGTTACCTCTTCACTAATTATCTCTAGTTGAGAGTCTGCCACCGTGTTGATCAGGAAATTTGTCGCTTTTGTCTGCATCGATTGCCATTCTTCTTCGGTTACTCCTGCTGCGGGTCGTGCATGGAGAGTGATTTCTCTGTGACATTCCTTAAGCTCTAGAAACTTTGTGAGACGGAATTTCCAGTTGGCGTAGTTCGTGCCCTTGAATATTGGAATTTTTATGAAATTTTCTACATCCATAATAATTGTTGCGAGTTGCGACAAAGAAAAACGATCAGGCAACACGAGGTTAAGGAGTAGGAGTACGTGTATAGGCACAACCGGCACACTACGATGTTTTTCGACATGCGTTTTGAATAAACTACTACTACGACGCGGAGTATTTTTTTTACTTTTTGAACACTTCCCTTGTTTGTTACTGAATAAACCACGGACCTCTGCTACCATGTTGGACGGATTGGGTTTTAGATAATATTATAATTAAAATTGAACTTGTACTTATGTATCACATCCATTGACGTATAATACAATCTAGACCGCGCATTAGGAAATTTCGGCAAGACTAGAGTCCCTTCAGGCGAGACGATAGGCAACCCAGCAACCGCAGTAAGTGTACCGACCGAGACGATGGAAATGCCAGTCTTATCAGTGCCATTACCTGATACGGGTACACTTAGCTCGTATATCCGGCGGTATCAACTAGGCTGAAGGCGCGTCCTTACCCCCCTAGCTTTCTTACCTTCCCCGCCTAAAGTCGGGCCCAATGCGCGGTCTAGATTGTATTATACGTCAATAGATCGTATTCGATACATCAAACGGGTGAGATTGTATCGATATCGATTGGTTCAAAACATAAACATAGCCTCAAAAGTAAATTCAGAAATCTGAGAGAACGGATCTTTTGAAATAGATTTTTTATTCTTTTGAGTACCAAATGCCAATGCAAAGTGAAATTGTCAGGAAATTTCTCATTTTCAGCTTTTCCAATTAAAATCCTTACAGTTTGGTTTGAGGTTATGTTCTATTGTTTTGAACCAAACGATACATCGAACCGTTATCGAATACGGTCTATGATCACTAGAGTCCCTTTATACCCAGAGTTAAGACAACTCGATTATCAGCTGACTGGCAGCCGGCCTTGGCTGGCCATGGAGGCCGAAACGAGTGCACCCAAACGAACGACATTGAGGGATAAGGATCAGGAATCCTGCGATGTCTGTCACACAAAAACAACAACATCAACAAATTGATGAATTAAAAAGAAAATGAGATTGGTTTGTGAATAATTTCTTAATCTATTTTCATTTTGGACCAATGGAAATAACAATTTACTCTTGACAAACCACAATTAGGTAATATTTTCATTATTCTTGTTCACATTCGAGGTACCGCCATCTTGGTGCACTCGTTTCGGCCTCCATGAGCGAGAACCAATCAGAATTGGATTTTTTTTAGGCCACTTTCAGCCCAACCAAAAGTGAGTTGTCTTAACTCTGGGTATAAAGGGACTCTAATGATCACATCTTTTATTTCTTATCAACAACAACGAACGGACAACGATCACCAGTCACCAACTGTAGTTGCAACGGCGCCAGATACGAATTTACGCCCGTTACTTATTCTAACAATTCCGTTAGTCACGCAATGACATCTGGGGGATGTCGTAAAGCTGCTTAAAAATACATGTTAATACCAAGTCCCATAGGGAGTTTTACTTTAAGGCAATTTTCCGAAATATCCCCAAGATCTGGCTACAACTCTTCGCAATCTTCATTGGAGACCTTAAAAGGAATGAAGATGGAATCCCCTCCAACCCCTCATAATTTGTTCGTTGAGCACACGGATTACCTATTCATGGTCAAGATAAGCTTCACATGAGTAATTATAAGTTTTGTGATAAAATATTCATATAAAATTAATAGATATAAAGTTGTTTCATTTCAATATAAAGGAATCATTATAATTATGTGAACACAAATAATACAATAAAGAAGTGTATTCACTCCAAGTTTTCCATGCAAATTGTGGGGCAGGTAGTCATAAGTAATGCCCATAAAATTCTCTTTATTGACCAATAAACGTAGGTAAGGAGCGAATATTCACGTATAGCTACATTCAAATCAATTTAAAGTACCAAGGGAAAACCGCACGGCGACCCAAGAATGTCCCTTGCAATCCGCCTCGTTTGGCGCTTTGTGTGACGTTAGAGTACCTGTATAGCGAAAGTATGGACAGATCGCTTCATGGAGGGCTTAGGGCCCAAAAGTGCAGCCACCCTTCTAACCACCTTCTAACGCTCAAAATTTCACTGCCAGTCTGTAGATTCCAATTCTAACGAAAGTGGCTAAGAAAGTACATAAATGAGCGTTCTTCTACAAAAATGAGCAAATTAATGCGAAAACTAAGTCAAATACGTGCTTTATAAACGATGGGTTGTAACAATTTTATTAATAAATCGCTCTGGATAATTGTAATTCATAGGTTGGCTGCATTTCTGGGCCCTACCTTTATTCGCGGAGGCATCGGTGAAGGCCTGATGGATTTTCGGAATTCCACATATGTCTACACTCTCGCTATACAGGTACTCTATGTGACGTATACGATTTGTATCGGTTCAATTTTTGGAGACAATTCGTAATGTCACAGTGGATAAAGGAGTCATAAATCTGGACACATTTCTGTATCATTAACAGGGCTTTTCTTTTATCATTCACATTCAGCTCATTTCAAAAAAGATAACAATCAACAGATACCTAAACAACTTATCGTACAACTTTACTAAGTGCTGCGATATGCTCTAATAACTATTATTCCTATTTTGAACACTACCACCATAGTAACATTTTAGCTCAAGTATGATTTCCCCATGCTGAATCGCACAATATACCTTTCGATAGTTAAAATAAGGATATGCAATTGGGACCCCTTTAAATATCTTCTTGCCTTACGCTGAGATCACGATTAGGTTCAATGTTATTGGATAGATGGAACGCATAGGGTATTTTTATTGTCTGGAAGCATAGTTGGCATTTAATGCAAATTACCCGAAGGACGAAAACATTCTACTTAAAAATGGTATAACATTTTCCTTACCATGAATCGGAGTTGGATTTTCCTCGGCACTAAGAGTCTCCTCTCCACTACTGTCCAATTGATCCGCCATCATGCCTGCAACTAATCATTAGATGGACGTTTAAAAGAAGGTGTACCATCAGAAGAATATTTAAGGAAATTCATACTTCGATATACGTTTGCGTTATGAATACCTACCTACTGAAATACTAAGACAAGCTGATAGGACACACGCAAGTGGCAGAGATCGCGATAAGTCACGCTAACATCGTCAAATTATCGCGATTATAGAACACATCATGCAAATTGCCTATTCACCCATTAGAAGGCGCAAAAATTATCGCGATATTTTGCGATAATAGCGCAACATATTGGAATAAAAGGGGAATGTGTTGCATTATGACTTATGCTGCAGCTTGCATAATCTGTAATAACCTCAAATCGAGATAAAATCATTTATTGCAATTTTTCGGGCACTATATTTTTTTAATGTAAATTATACAATATTTTGATCAGGAGGAAAATACGGCGTTTCCTTTCTTCAACTCCCCAGCTTACTTAAAAGAGGAAAACACGTTGGGTCAAAAGAATAAATCGTTCTCTTAAAATTATTAAACGGGGCGAACGCATTCTGAGAACGTCCGTTGCCTCTTTTCAAGTCATCAGCTTGATTGATCAAGTAAAATACGGTGCGACAAAAGAGGAAACCAGGATCCTTAAAATACGTAAACGGGCTGAGCGCCTTCCAAGGGGGAAAAACCAATCAGCAATACGCTACTTGTCTTATTCCAAGCACCAACTCGCGGAATGAAAGAAAACACGTTGCTTCAAAAGTGGAAACCAGGTTCCTTAAAATTACTAATTAGAAAACGGGGGGAGTCCTTTCCGGGGGAACGGACGCGATTGGTCATGCGTGCCGTTGCCTTCTTTCAAGACAACAGTTTGCTGGGAGGAAGGAACTAGTCTTCTTAAAATCAGTAAACGGGATGGTGACGCCTCCTGAGAGGATGATGCAGATGCCGTTAGCATCTGCTTAAACCAACACATGGTGTGAAGAAAAAAGGTACCCTTCTATCTAAATCATTGTGAACGAGAAATACGGTTCCTTCAGGGAGAAAGGGTGCAAAGATGCGAGGATTAAAATATTTTGGTTAGAACAGGGTTCTGGAGTTGGATTTGCCCGCAAATTCGATGGTTCGGGCGATCTTACGTCGGAGATTCTGGGTGTGCACCCGTTGGCACAGAATACCTTTACATATGATGTATATTCGCCCAATGGAGACATAAGCCCCGATGGGTCAGGAGGAAGAGTGTTCGGTTCGTAAACTATGTAGGTCCCAGGTGCAAATCCCGATAGGAAGGCAACAATTTACAAGTCGATACTTACCATGTGGAGTCTTCGACATTTGTAGAAATGCAATTGAATAGTTTTCTTCATTGAAAATTCTATAAATTTATCAATTTTTGCACTTAATGGCGGAAATAAACCGCGCCCTAGGGTGGCCCGGACTAATCGGACAGGCCTTTTCTTGGGCATTTTAGGTCAAACGAAGTTCAAGACCGCGAGGACGAATACTGCCGTGCTATAGGGAAGAACGCCGTATGAACCAAATTTTTTTTTTTTTTAAGTTAGACATGGAATAATACTGAGTGAAACATGCTCTGTTCAATGGTGAAGGCAGGAAAGGCGTATCTCCATTGGTTTCAGAGATATCGACGGTGTACGTCGGCAATCACATAACTCGATTTTTGGCGGTTTTCAGTTAGCTGCAGAAATGAAGTGTAGTAGATGCCCTGTGCCTGCTAGCAAAATATTTCAGTCGAAAAAAATCTGAAAGTCACGTAAAAATATAGAACTCAAAACACACATCTCGGTGTTAATTCCAATAACACATAAGGCCTTGTCTCCACGAGCCGTTTCACGAGATTTGTCCCAGGGAAAAATCCCACTTACGAAGTTGGGAAAAATATTGAGTTAATCAATATTTTTCCCAGTACCAAGTATGGTACTTGTACCCCTAGGACCCACTGAGAGAAGAAGAAGAAGTGAAAACGAATTGTGCGATATTTTATTCATTACTACATTGCTAATGTTTGTTTAGTTAAAATAATGTGTCTAATTGTCAATTGGGTGCAATTATTATTTTAATCCCGGTTAAACACTCGACTTTAACCAATTTATCTTCCCGCGAAAACTAGTCGCAGGACTGTATGAGCCCCGTCCCGTGGAAACGGTAACTGGGAAAAATCCCAGAAGTTTCATTCCTGCGATTCGAACTTGGGACAAATCCCATGAAAACGTCCCGTGGAGACAGGGCCTCACTCATGCCGTCGCGCCGCATTTTTACACAACGCGCGCTCTCCCGGGAAGAATCGTGAACAGTTTAGGAGGGAAAATTAAAAGCTTGCACGTCACGGAATCTTCAAACAACAAAAACATTGTTTTTGTTTTAACATCTAACATCTAATCCAACGGATATGACTGAGTATAATCGTCCTCTTATTTTTATCTTCATTTCATTTTAATTCGTAATTCGACTGCGTAAGTCCGCAATCACATAATTATCTCGTTTACAGTGGCTGAAAATCGCCGCCTCTACGTTTTTTTTTTTAAAGGAGAACGTCGACTCATTTGACATCATTCCTTGCATTTTATACAGAATTTTCTTCGCATAGAGAAGAAAACTCACGGCAGTTTTAAAGAATTGCCGTTGAGTAGTTTTCCGTTTAAAAATTGAAATATGACAGGAAGTCTGCGACGTCGTAAGCCGAGTTATGTGATTGCCGACTTACGCCATCGAATTGTTTTCCGGAGTCATTCTAAAGTTTAGCTACCAATTAAAGTTTGTTAAAAGGAACTTTAGGCTACTTTTAAAGTGAGAGGAATCTTATTCAGTCTTTATTCAGTCAACATCGGCAATGAATAAGTTTGAATCAGTAATTCGCCAACCACGAATCTCAGAATTCTGTGTTGGACCTTAGTTCCACAAACAGATAACTCGGTTTTTCGGTCATTTTTCCTGACAGACGAGAGTATTATTCAAAACGATGATAGAGTCTTATAAAGCATCTTATCCTTGGTGTCTCTAAGAATTATTTCCCCTCTACCTTCAAATATGAGGAATGTAGAGAGTTTTTTCTCTCTCCTGAAAAATCGTGGTTTCCGAGTCATGTGATTGCCAACTTACACCGTCAATACGGAGGGGGGTCCCTGCCATATGTCCTGCATAGAGGCGAGGTTGCAACAATAGATCGCCGCACGGTGGATCGAACCCTGCAAAAAGTCGGACATGGGCGTTTCTCACAAATAGTCATTTCATTGACGTAGATGTCTCCCCAAAGAGTTATATTTTATGATACGGGTAGGTATTGGTTTTCAATTTTTCAATCCCAATTTAGCGCACACAGCCTCCCAAAGTGGCTCAGGCGGCACTCGAGAAATATTGCCTCACTTGGTACAAATCGTTTGCCGGTTGGCATTTCCTCCCAATAGACTTATGGCAATTTCTGATAAAGGAAGCTTATTCTCCTCTTTAAGTAGAATATATATCTGTAATAACATTTTAAAATATCGTCATTTTTATGCGCGGTATTCTTGCTTATAATTACTACCTTCAAAATCATAAACAAATTATATAAGTATCCTTTTAACTACCTATTTACGCGTATTTACGGGAAACCTTTATAGAGCAGTGTTAACTAATTCCTGGAGATCCAGTATTAAGAAAAATTGGCTGCCCCAAAGTGCCATTTTGGGAATGAAGCTCAAATGACTTTGAAAAAGTGAAATTCATAAAATGGTGGCTCGAGGGAATTTGAATTCCATAGGTCTGCGGTGAAAAAACACCGGACATTTGATAGGTGATCTGTACGTAATTTTTAGTGCTGAGTCCGAAAATGACCTTGGTTTTTCTCCAACACCCACTGATTTTCCGGAAAATTGAGATTTGCCATTTAAAATGGAATTTTCGGGAAAAGTTATTTTCCGCAAAACTGGTGTATGGTAGAGAGAAACCAAGGTAATTTTCGAATCCAGGAGACAAAAATACATGGGATAACATGCCGCGCGTGGTTAACAAAATGTCCACGTTGTTTCAGATAACGGGGATTTTCCTCTCAAATGTCCTAATCGACGCATATGCCACTAATCCGTTTGCTTTGCGTCTGAAAAGACGGGAAAATTATATCAAGTTGGTGTCTAATGGAGCATCTTTCATCTACTACCTGCTGCTAAAGTCAAAAATGGCCTAAATTATTTTCTATCTTCTGACTATTTCCAAAAAACTCGCGTTTTCTTGACATCGGATTTTTTTTTTTTTTTTTTTAAGTTCAATTTTTTCGGAAAATTAGTTTAGCAGCAATCATTAAGCCAAAGAAGCTCCATTAGATCCCTAAGTATAAATAAAGGCAGTGTACAGTGGTGACTCGCGGGGCCTTTAATTAGGAAGGCTCGGATAATGTATGATTTGTGTTGATTGATGTGTATTTAATTTCTATTTTTCTCTCGTATTTTCCCCCTTATCATTTTCTTTTGTAAGAAAGCTAAAGAGGTGCCCCTTCAGGAATGAGGGGGAGAGGAGGTCCTCTGTTTTCCTCTCAAAATTTTCGGATTTCTTTTAATTCATTTTTGGGGGGAGAGGAGGGGGAAGGGTAAAATAGATGAGTAATAAACGTTTTATATACGATATTTAAACATTTTATCGGAGAAAACAGTCCCTCGAGCACTTAAAACTCCGATTGAAATGAGTGTAGAAAGTTTAAACTTATCTGTTGTTTAACAATATCTCTCTATTTATCTGAGGTTGTGCCAAAATACGTATCTAAACCCAATAATCAGTAAAACAGCCATCAAAAATGAAATCTGCGACGAAAAATACACAAGAATCATGTATCCTGCTTTGTCTTATGAGCGAAAGCACTACGTAAATGAGCAAACCAAGTCACGTGATGTGCCATGTCCAGCCTGCCCTATGACTCGATCCACCGTGCGCCGTACGTCCAGGAACCTCGGGACGCGGGTGGCACTCGTGGCGTTCTTCCGTATGCTTTGCGAACATGCGGTACTCTCCCCGTGCAGCCCACGCCAATCCCCGGACTCACGG